GCATACTTGGTGCAGGGCACGGCATGGGGGAGCGTGACGCTGCAGGATGCCCGTCAAAATCCGTCGCCCGCCCCCGCGCATGGGTACTGAATTCGGTTGCAAAATTTATATACTGTGTGCAGACTGAAATCCTTATGTCGCGGTTTCGTCTGGCCTCCTCTTCTTTTGTGGTAGAGACTGGTCATTGGCAGATCTTTTTCTTTGTTGTCGGCAAGCTTCTAAAAACAGCGGGAAGTTGGGAAGGGCGCAGCCCCGGGGCCGGGGCTTCTCAGAAAAGCTTCAAAGTGATTTGACGCTGGGAGCATGTAAGCTGCTCGGGAGTTGGAGCCGAGATTTTTTTTTAACTGCTTCTTGACGCTGGACAAGCAAGAGCATAGAGCGGAAGTTGTGTTCCATTGTTACATTTGTCAACACTTGAGTTTTCCGTCTCTTTCTTCTTTTGGCATCTTGCTTCAAACTTATCTATGTTTGCTTCCTTTGCAAATTCTCCAGTCGCTTCCTTTGTCTTTTTTTCGAGCAATGTATGGAATTTGAAAAGAAAAAGCAAATTCTCAAGTTGCTTCAAAACTCTTTGTTTCTTGCGAATCGCATCGTAGGCATCCTGATGATTGGCGTTCGTTTTTTCGGTCAGCGGCCTTCGCATCGTCTTCGGAAACTTCAGCAAGGTTGCTGTGATCGGAACTGTAACGCACTTGGTAGCAAGGCACACAATTTTGAACAAGAACACTATCAGCGCAGGTGCTAGTGTGCAAGTGGTAAATCCATTGCTTGGCGTAACATGAGCATTATGAATGGCTCAATGTAGTTTTTGTCATGCGCCATAGCGACGCAAAATCTTTGTTTGCTTGCACAACTACAAAGTATTGTGGAGATGCCGGCACGTGCAGTCAATGAAATGGTGTTACAGTACACAGACTGCTGCGTCTTGCAAATTATTTTGTGACGTTGGCTATGAAACGGAAGGTCAACACCGCCACTTCGGTTGTTGGTCGTAGTGTGGTCGTGGTAGCGTCTGCAAAAACACGCCGGCAGAATCGTAGGTTTCGTGAGATGTTGTGTTTGCATCTGCTGGGCTCTCATGTCTTGCGCCATTCGAAATTTCAAGAGGTGTTCATGTGACAGTAACAGTTGTTGGGTTGTGGGTCATGAACGATGGTTTTGCAGAGTTTTCCAACCCTGCAAACATACATGGTCATGTAATGTTAGTCATGCAGCAGTTCTTGTTAGGAACGGTGCCATGTGTGGCAATCTAAGCACATGCGGAACACAGACATTAACCACTTCATGCACTTTTGTTGGCCATGATGTAGCTGAACAAACAAGTTCGTCGATGGGAAAAGAGAAGGAGATGTCATGTTGTGCATGTTCGGCTTCGGTCGTTGCAAATGTGGATGCTGATTCAATGCGGGTTGTCGAAGTCTTTGGCTGTTCAACATTGCAATGGATTTCAACTTGCATCATAACAGGGGAGATTCATTTTGTGATGCGGGAGGATGAATGGGACTTGTTGGAAAAATTGCCTGCGTCAGCCTCAGCTTTACGCCCGCTTGCAATAGCCAGTCTTAGCCACATGCGTCGGTCTTTTTCAACTGTGCGTTGATACTGTTCCCTCCGAATCGCAAAGAAGCTGGTGCCCCGTATGTTGTTGTTGTTTTTGCTGACATGTGCTTTCGAGGTGAAAGAGCTTCGAAGACAGGCAGGCATGATGGTTTGAAATTGAGTAGGAGACGTTGATTGCTGTGGTTATATATAATGTCGTTGGCAAGTATGCAATAGATGCATGTAGCTTTGCCGGTCTCCTTGGCCTTGATCGCGCATCATCTCAAGCACGTGAGCCATGTGTGAAGGGTGGGTGCTTGTTTCATTCAATCGCAGGCTGCGCGAAAATGTGTTCCTTTGACGCAGAGCCTTGCCGTTCAAGATGGCAGGCGTTGTTGTTGCCCTGCGGGAATTGGTATTCGGACACGGCCAGCTCTGAATGATGCGTTTGCACGTGTAACTGACCAGAAACGAAAGATCCATGTGCGTAGAAGGATGCCCAGCCCAGGATTTCCACGGCAGTGGAGAAGAGCGATTTGTCGGATGCCCTGGAAAGATTGCTGCATCATTTTGAACTTGTGAAGTGAAGTGTGATGTCGTCATGGGACTGCTTCCGCAGCTTCCCCAAGTTGTGCTGCATGAGAGAACATTGCGAAAAGGAAGATATGTGATAGGCTTCGCAGCTTAGAGTTCACTCATGCACCCAGTTTGTTTCAGCCCAGGATCAATCTCATCATCAAAGCTGGACCAGTGTTGGACCAGTGACCCGCGTTCAGAGTTGCTCGCAGACAGTGGTGATTCTAGCTGCCGATACCAGTTGCCTGAGATTGAATCTGGTGGAATTCGGTCAGGTATGATGTGAGCGTCGGTGTGAAGGACCTCTTGGGATAAAACATCATACCCTACAAGCTTGGTCATAGATGGGCGCAGGTTGAGTATGACAGTTTCGGTGTAGTGTGCTTTGGTAGCAGTTATGTCGTGTTACAATGGCGGATTTTTCAATACACAGTCGAGTTTAGATTCGAGTCTGCATGCTTTCACTGTGCAAGCAGCCGCCACACCATGTGGAATACTGGCATCAAGTTCTGGCAAAGGTTTGGACCGCTGAGGCGGTAGACAGCCATCAACCAGGCACTTTCGTCATGTGCTCGTTTGGCGTAGCAGCCGCAATTGAAGACCGACGGCAGTTTGTAGTCAGCCGTTTCGAAATTAACGCATTGTGTTCCTCAAGGGTACTAGCCACAGCAGACGGTGTCGAAAGCTGGGTGTCAAGACGATCGGGACCAGGATGTACATCCTTATCATGCGGGCTGCGACGCGTTTTACTTCGCTTGTATGCCTTGTGTTGGCACCATGCACACTAAGCGTGATAGGCGCAAAGAAGCCAGTGAAGACGAAAGACAAGAGGCCAGACAGCACCGGTAGGATGCGCTTTGTCGGCAGACTTTGGATTCGACCCGCACGGGATCACACACATGAATCCTGCACCTCCAACATGGGAACGCATCAATCTGTGGCTTGCCCAGGATTAAGAAAGACCAGGCAAGGCTCAAGGATGTCAAAGAGGGAGAGAAGTCCAAGAAGAAGAAGAAACGTGGCCAAGCTGCAGTCAGTTGTGCAAAGTTGCGCTTGGGTACAAGTCCTCTTAACCGCGCCGTGTTATCGGGACATGGCTCCAATGTGTCGGTTCTCGGGAGATGCTGGTTTCAGGCAGGGTTCAAGACTTACGCTTTGTCAGGCCTACGTGATGTGTTGGTCTGAGTGCAGCTTCTTCGTACAGTTGCGCAAAAGTTTCCTCATAAGCTCAAGATGTAGTGTGACGTTCGGATACGTATTAGGAAACACGTATCCGAACGTCAATGTGCAAACCGCTTGAACTAGGCCTTCCCACTTGACATTGCGTATGAAAGTACTCAGGATCACAGTTCTAGAGGGTGCTAGAAGGCTTCCACGAATCATGGCCGGGTAGCCTCGATCAACATCACGCAGAGTTGCAGGAGGGTCATCTTCCAGCGAAGAGGCGCTGAAGTGCATGCCGGTGCAGAAGTTGAACAGTGACGCAGCAACATTACCATCGCAGTGACTTGTATACACAGGCCTCTGAGCAGAAGAAAAAGAAGAGGAAGAAAAGCAAGGGCAGGAAAACAAAAGGCAAGACGGGCTCGTTTCAGTCCTTGCATACTGTGCGTGTCTGCTGTGCGCATGCATACGTGGAGTCTGCAAAGCTTGTCGCAAGTCTCTCGACAAGTCATCTTCAGTTCGCACTCAGTTCTCGGTAACGGTTACGGGTTTTGACGCAGACTACAACCTTTTACTCTTCTTCATCTCCTGAAAAAATTTCATCCCAGCCCAACCCATCCCATCCCCATCTCAGCTCATGTCATCTCATCTCTTCTTCAGATCATCATAACCTGGACCACGCAGTTCTTTTGCGCCCGCAGCCGTAACAAAAAGAGACCAACAGAAACACACAGGTATTGATGGAACTACTGCGACGATTTAGCAACAGTACTGCGGAAGTTGCCTGATGCGAGACTGATGCCACAAGCTACAGATCCGTTTTAACCGACGCGGCGACACAACAACGAGGTTGAAAGCAATAGGTGAAGTAAGGCCAATACCACTTTGTAACAGTTGCAGCAGGCGTTGGCTTTCTAAGTGGACTTTTTGACTTCGGGGAGGGGCTCATGCTTGCGCAGCCAACACCTCGAAGAGAGGCGACTGTCAGCCTTCAAGATTCTCACGTGACTTCGTTGTCAGTGTCTATTCTATGCTTGACCCAGGACCAGTCAAGAAGGTTTAGGACAAGCGTGCAGTTGTAAAGGGTTTCGGCTGTGGGTTCTTTCTTGCAACAGGTACTCGGCTGCGCAAGCAGTGCTCTACTCTAATATTCTAGCCAGTGCAGAAGATAATGCGAGCGACCGTCAGTCTACGTCATTATTGACCGAATCCATACATTGATGTCTAGTATGACGCAGACACCTGCTGGTGGAAGGGGGTCATTCAGTCTTGTTTGAGTCATCAGGTGGCCAAGCCGTCTCCCGCAGCCCGAGCTTGACGATGATGCTGCCGGCAGATGTTTGGGCCTTGTTGTGCAGTTGTGGCGAGTCATGGTCTTCAAAACTGGAAGAGATCAAAGTGAAGGAGTATCAATCCAAAGCCACCTCGGGAAGGACATGCGACGGCGAAACGATTAAGGAGCGAGCAAACATGAACAATATTTACAATTTACAGTAGCAAAATGACGAAGACATATTCAACTTTTTGGGTGCTTGTGGAGCGCGAGCCCTTACAGGGATAGGAGAATGAACAAGGGAGTAGAGAGCGGTCCTTGCGTTCCCTGAGCCTAACGCGATTCCATGGATATTTTTGGCTTTATGATTCCATCTAGTGTTGGGACTTCGTTTGAGCAGAGAGTAGCAGTGGAAACCGGGAACCGCCAGCGTGGTAGGGACACAGGGCAAAAGGAGTTGAGACAGTTGGGAGAGTCATGGATAGACAATTTTAGCAGATTCGGGGTTGTGAACCCTGTTCTCAAGGCCTTGGAGGGGTTTGCAAATGTTCTCAAGCCGGAAATGAGCAGAGTCCAAAGTCTTCCACAGCCAGCCTGTAGCTGAGTGCAAGGGAGTAGGGAGCGGCCAACCGGTATCACTGGAAACCCAAAGCAGCGAGGATGAGGAGACTCGAGCAGTGAAACTGGAAAGCGCAGACCCTAAACTCCCTAAACCCGGAAAAGCAGAGCAAGCCGGATACTCTGAATGCCAAAATCCTTCGAGTGAGTTTCTGAGTTCCTTGTTCTTTTCAAATCCATGTTTGAATTTATGGGCGCCTCTTTCGTGATCGATCTGATCCCTCACCCACAGCTGGTTGGGTATTGTAGTTTGCCTTTGAGTATGGCTGCAAATTGTGCATCTCTCTTGCTTGTTGAGGGAGCTATTTGTCAGCCAGGCCCCTTTGCAGCTTGCCAAAACTGAATCAGGCCGGAATTATTGTGTTTTTCGGACATTGCTTGCCAGTCAGAACTTCAAACATCCGGAACTTGAACAGAGACTCCTCAATGCTGCCAGCTACACCGTCGCCTGCTCATCCACCTAGCTGTGTGTGCCAGGCCGCAACTTAGCTACTCGCGATTCTCGCGCTTCACGCAGCCCGAGCTTGACGATGTTGGGAGACGCCGGTGTCTCAAGTTTTGCTGTGGGTTTTGGCTTGCTAGTTTGTTTCTGATATGCATGCGCTGTTAGGCTCCATCCGTGACGGACCTCGAGGCCTGACAACCGGTTCGCTGTGGGACTCTATGCTCGAAAGACCTGCGTGCAGGTTTGCATCATCGAAAGTCACGAGCCAGGCCATGACTTTGTTACCGAGTTCTGGCATCCTTGAGAAGTTGCCGCGGTATGATGTGTTCTTGTCTTGGTCTCCGACTGTCCGAGCGAAATCATGCCACCAAGTCGCTTGTTGGGTATCTTTTCCTTCTTTCCTGCAGCAGGGCTAACCTTAGGGAGCTATGCTTCTCTGGATGACCTTTCAAGGTACAGAGGTACCGAAGAAAGACAAGGAGAGGAGCCTCGCCCGCAGAACAGCATGCTGCGGAGATAGCATTTGTGCCTTTGTTGGACTGTAGTTTTTCTCCACGACCGACTACCCCTCGAAAGCCTTTGCCTCGGCTCTCCAACTCTCAAATTTGTGTTTCCTGGAAGGACATGTCGCCGGGGGGCCACGCACTGTGCAGCTAAGAACGTTTGCATAACTGGCTTCCTCGTGATTTGGATCCGGGCTTGGCAGCGTTGCACACGATCCCCACAGGTTGTCCTCCGAACCGATCGAAAGCACAACCTCAGCCTTTCGTATCTATTCACATCAAGTTTTGAACGCGTTGTCTTCAGTGACAGATTTGTCTGACCCTATAGTACTATAGGCCTTACTGATGCAGCTGGGACGATTCGGTGTAGAACGGTTCGTTTCTGTCTGTAAAGGCAGCCCAAGAAGAACAAGGATAAGGGTGAGGAGGTTGAGAAGACCAGGAAGAAGAACAAAGGCGTGGTCTGTGTTGCCGTTCATGTGGTTCAAGATGTGAAACGACTTGCACCGACTACTTGTGCTGGTCTCTTCCAGGGTCTGGTCCCCGTATATGTACATAGATAGCTTCGCAGCCTCATAGGCATTGCAGGAAACAGAACAATCTAATTTTGTTTCTTGCGAGCACTGTTGCCGCAATGTGAAGATTTCACAATGCCTTTGATTGGATGCAGGAGTATGTATGGGTTTAGTGGAGTACAAACCAAGAGTGCGTTCAACAAGATCTGACTGGAGCTGATGATCATCTGCCAAAGTTTGCGTGTTTGTGTGTGTGTGTGTGCGTGCGAGTGATTGTGAATTTGTGATGTCTTGCCATGTCAATGGGTGATTCATTCAGTTTTTGTGATTCTTCATCGCAATGCGACAGTTCGATTTGGATGAAAGCTTACCTGTTCTGCCAGGTCGTTCCCGCAGCCCGAGTTTGGCGGTGGCGGTAGATGTGGACCGCTTAGTCTTCCCGGCCGCTTGAAGAGCAGGTTGCAGTCACATCTCTGCGGCCACGTAGGCAAAGCTTGTTCCACTGTCTGCCATCGGGGACCGTGTGAACTGGTCAAGTTTGGAGCGTGCGCGTAACCAGTCGGGAGTCGTTGCAGCACCAGCTACGAGATCAGACGGTTGTCGTCGGAACATGGAATGGCCAACTCCAAGTCCATGCTTTGTGGTGTAGAAACAGTGTGACATGCTAGTTGCAGCTGCTGACCTGAATAAAGCGAACTCAGGATAGTTGGAGTGGAATCAGGTGGCAAAGGGCAGAGATCATGAATAATGTCGTGGCAGGGTCTGTATAGTTCTTGTGCTGGTGACCGCCATAACGAGTCTTCTCAATTCTGGGGTTGAGCCACTGGTGAGGGCTCATCGGAACATTGCTACATTAAGATGCCGGAGCAGGCATACATAGGCTGATGCAATGCTTAAATGCTAGAAGTAGCACCCTGTCGATTTTTAGCCGAGCCAGTGCAACATCCGTCGGCGGATGTCTGCCTTGTTGTGCATGGGTGGACGGACAAAGCTTGCCTAAGGCTCCTCCGCAAGTGACGGACGGCGGCGAGGCACGTCTAGCATGGTGCCTGCTGCCGGGGTCTTCCTTTGGGTTGTGGGAAGACAAGACAACCTGCCTGCTTCAGCTTGTCAGGCCCGGAAAGCTCAAGCCGGAAGTGCGGATACGGCACAGGAGCGGCATAAGCCCCACCACAGAAGGAAACATCTGAAGATCTGTATCAATCTTGCTGGTTGTTCGCATGTTGGACCTGGGTCACAGCTTCGGAACATAAGAGTAATCCTGCATTCTGCAGACGGATGCCGCAGTTGTAAGTTTGCCAACCCGTCTACCTACAAAAACATCTTTTACCATTGTCTCAAAGCTGGCATCGTCGAATGAGCCAATGACGACCGTATTGGCGCCCGTTGAGTTAACTTCTGCAACCTCTGCAAAGAGCCGTGTTCTTGGAGAGCACTCGAAAAGGCAGGAGTTGCCGCAGCAGCAGCTCTCGGCTTCAACGTGCTGCCGAAGCAGTCCAGCTATGCGCCGGCAACTGACTGGCTCTACACAACGATTAACGGATTAAGGGATTAGGTTGCGAAGCTCCTTCGCTGCATGTCCTCAGCCTTTTTGTTCCAGGCTGTGAGCATGAGAAGCAACACGATAACACCCTTTTGTTGGCCTGTTTGCTGCTCAGGCCGAACGCCCCAGCTCCAGGTCTCCGCCCGTCGCTGCATGCACCGCAGGGTGCCTGGCTGATGCTGGTCCTCTGATCTTGGCCTGTTTCTTCCACGCATCCTCAGTTTAAGGACAGCACTTCCGACACCAAATTCCACCTCGCTGGGGCATCGTGTTTGTGTGCAGTATCTTTGTCAGGGCCTCAGTTCTGTTTCGTTGTAAGAAAATGAAGACAAGCGGGTGAACACGCAGAGCCTGAACATGAGCATTATCAGAGAAATTCGGTCTCTTCAGAACATGGCTGTAGCTGCAACACATGCCACAGCTGCCACAAGGCTTCACGCGCTGTGATCGGGGCAGCAACTGTCCAGAGGCGGTTGGCTTTTCAACACTGACGGAGAAGGTTAAAAAAACATACGCTTCCAAAGACGTACATCGTTAGCTTGTCGATTTGCACGATTTGATTGTCGTGTGAACCCTTGCTGGGAGTGATGTTCTGCTTGATGGAACTAGCAATAGTTTCTGCCAAGGATGTAGTAGCAGATGACACATCGTGACACTCACAGGCACACATCATGGACCCAGAAGAGGAGATGCCACACCCTTGTCTTTTGCTCTACCCCGGAAGTGTGACTATGTGTTTTGAACGACTGTTTGAAGTACTGTTCGGCAGGCAGATTTTGCAATGCAGTAGTCAGCACTGCTCATTATCCGAGGCGTGTCCGCGCAAAGTTCAAAATGCAGGAGTGTAACCAAGGTGCTAACTGCACCCGCCTGCCGCCTGGCTTCTCGTGTCGCACGTGGGTTTTGAAACCCTGCGCCACGAACTACGACCAATGGGCTCAGGCACGAGCTGCCTGTTCAGACATCCCGGCGAGCGTGTGGAAGAGGCAAGAGCACTGGGATCGTTGTTGCAATCTTGAATGCCGTTTGCGAAATTGCTGACAGGCAAGTTTGTCTGGCAGTCAGCTGCAGAAGGCTTGCCGATATGGAACGCAGGATCATTATGCAAAAAGTCGTAGAGCATAAGGCCTTACAGCTTTGCGATGCCCTGCAACAGTTACATGCATAGCATGTTGCCACGGGATCTTGCCCGAGGCGACTCCACAAAGTGGTATCACGCGGTAAACAGAACGCAAAAAGTCCTGCACAGACGATGGATGTCTAGAACAAGCGGAGGTTGCTTCAGGTTGCCTTTCTTGCTCGTACAGTGCATGTGCATGCGTGTGCCAGCGGCCTGCTGCCAGCTGTGGATGAACCATGCATGGTTTTCGCTAGAATCGCCAGACTCGTGATAGGCAGATACGAAAAAGCTTGAGAATGCTTGACGCACAGAGCGGACAGACAGCAGCAGCCCTCACGTGGACTGTTAGGAGCAGCATGACATGATAGTGACAACTACCCATTGAAAGCCAGTTGCAGTTTTGCTGCAGGCAAGCTACTTTTGTGCAAGTGGACACAATTGTGCTAGGAAGGTCCTCTTGTCTCGAATGGGTGCGCAGAACAGCACTACGACTTCTGGGCTCAGCGGGAATGATGATCGATTCGTCAGCAATGGCGTGAACACCAAGTGGCCAATGCAGTGTGTATCGTGGAGTTTGTGTTAGGAGAGGAAAGTAGCATTTTATGCTTCTCTAAACTCAGGCTCTCGCCGGAGATGGACTGTCGACATCTGCTTGGAGCCTCCGCAAGCACCATGCTCGCACTTTTAGATTGTCCTTGGAGTGGGTCGAGACGTTGCGTGGAGGGATGATTCTCATCACACCGGCGTATCTCATGTGTGAACTTATGCAGGGATGCGACGACTCGGTCAAGTTTTCAGCGTGCTTGTTCACGCCGGCACAGGGCAGCATGCGTTACGAGGACTGCAAGAATGGCTGGAGACTCGCACTAGTGTTGCTCTGTTGAAGCTCTACAGTCTCTACATTAGCTCATCAACGCATCCACCTGCTAACTCATTGAGCATAGCATCGGATTTGCAGGACTTTGGCATGCCATGCCGCCTGGAGCTGGAGATGAAAGATGTAATCTCGGTTGTGCTGCAGACCTCAGATCAAGGTTGCTGCAGTGTCACTTGCAACCATGTCTCCTGGTTCGGTCCTACTCTTGTGTTCCTGTGTCAGTGTGTGTGTGTGTGTGTACACGCCTGGACATGGCGACCTTTGAGTGAGGGAACCAATTTTCTGCAGGGGGGCAGTGCATGCCTGACAATCACTGCCCAACGAAGACACTGTCAATGCGTGGTGATATCTGGCCTGATCAGCCAGACGTACCTGATTTCGGATAAATTAGCCAATGGGCCCCCTGTGGCACTGGAGCAACCGACCCTAGAGTGAAGCGCCGCAGTCATCTGTGACGTGCCAAAGTGTGTTTCGTTCTGGAAATCCCGACATGGAGCCAGATCAGAGTGGGCAAACGCCCAAGCCCGCGATAGCGGAACGCTGCAAAGCAGAAATTCATGTCGTGCCAATCATCATCATGTGTTATAGGTTCATTCGCCGAAGCTGTCCGATGCCGTTCACTTTGATCATTCTGAGACTGGCGCATTCTCGTAACGAGCAAACTCTCGGCTTGCAAGTGACCTGCCATTTCAGAGGGTTGCTGGGTCTTAGGTGTCTCAACTCAGGCAGGTTTCAGGCAGCCAGGGCTTTTGTGTGCCATTGTGAGTGAGTGCAGTGCTAGTGCAGTCGCCTTCTCGTTGCTGTTGGGTTGCTCGCTGTTCCTCGTGTTGTTTGGTTGGTTTTGTAATATTTCTGTTTCTCTCTTTTTGTCGCTGCTGCCATTGTTGACGTTCTACCGCTGGAAGCAAACTTGCGATGCGTGGGCACCAAGCTGTCCCGCTCCGGTCATACATTGGCACGCTCAGAATGTCACGCAGCGAGACGTCGATAGAGTTTGGGATGGCATCAGCAAGCACGACGAGGACATGCTTCACGCCGCAGTTCTTTTCTGTGCACCTGAAGTCTTGGTTCAAGAAAGGGCAAGAACCATGCTAAGTTCGTCTGCAGTTACCAGCACTTTGGAAAACTGGACATTTCAACGGCTTCCTTTCGATTGCATAAACTTCGTAATTTGGAGGCCAAGCTCCGTGAAGTGGTCCGTCTGCAGCAACAGCAAATGCAGCGAAAAGTCCTGCATCACCCACTGTTCCCTCGTGGCACTTGGCGCCAAAGATTTCAACAGGTCGCTGTACTTTTAAAGAAAGAGCGAGGGAAGCAGCAACAACAACAGGGGCTTCGAGCTTGGAGGCAGTCTTCGCAAAACAGCAATGCCCTGTGCTACAAATGGCACAAGCGCGGCGCTCCGCAGGTGTTCAAAGGTCTCATTGCTGAAAGCTCCAGATCAGCGAGCCGGCCAAGGACACTAAATCCGAGTACCAGCGCTGGAGTGACGACAGTTGGCACAAGCTCAGCGCTTCGGACTGTGCTGCTTCAGCCAGCATACTCCGAGGAAAAGCAGGCGGCATGGATGCCGATGTCGCTTCCATTCCCATTCCCCTAGAGCATTGGGATGTTTACAGCGATTTTGCGAGCGGATCGATGCTGCTGGCCTCAGCCCAAGCAGGTGAAAACAACTCAAGCAGTGCCACATTCCTAAACCTTCCAAGATCGTGAAGTCTGACGGGGTTAGCGAGTTTCTGATCTGAGGCCCATTTCTGTTTCGAGCTGGTTTTACAGAGTTTGGGCAAGCAGGAGATTAAAGTCTCAGCCGGCTGAAGCATGGCTGTCCATGTGGTGGCCTGAGGAAGCCATAGGCGGTAGAGCAAAAGGCGAGGTCTTCGAGGTTTTGGCTCCGTTAGCAGCTGCCGCTGCTGAGAAACGGTTCGTCGCCACGCTGGAGTACACCCTTGCCTACGACTACTGTGATCCGACTCTGGCGGTGGGCATCATGCAGAAATTAGGACTACCAAAAGGCATCACTGCGATGCTGTCTGCAACATGGAGCCAACAACAACGTTGGCTGCTTTTTGGAAACGTCCGGCGCCCTGCTGGTTCTTGCCAAGGAGGTACTCTTTGGCAATGCGCTCAATGTTTGCCCAGTGTGCCGGACCGCCCCCGTGTAGTAGATCATCGGTGGCCACACCGAGTATCCCTTGTAGGACCGGCTCCTGAGCATCGTCTTTGGTGTGCAGTAGCAAGACGCAAGGGTCGGCCTTGCTGGACGTGTAACCGAAGTCTGTCTGCAGTCTTCGGGCCAGGTGCCTGTGCCACGCCAGGGGGCCATCCGTGAGCCCGTAGCACGTTTTCAGCAGCTTGATGATTTGCCGGGGGTGTGCTCCCGGCACACCTTCTCGTGGCTGATAGCAGTACAGCTCGCGATCAATCCGGTCACCGGAATGAAAAGCTGAGTAAAATCAAGAAAGCCTGGCACCCAGCCCATTGACGCAAGAACCTGGGCTATAAAAATCGCAGAATCCCTTCCCACTTGCGGCGTGGTGCACTCCACCTCAACCGCCGCAGCTTCCGAGAAACCCTTCATCACATGCTGGCACTTAGCTTTGCAAAACCCGTGCTCCTGGTCATCCAAGAGCAAGTCCTCACTCTTGGCCTTGGCAATGTCGGAGGGCTCGAGGGGCTTCTTGGTAATCACGTAGCGGGACTCCATGATCTTGTCGTCCTTGGTACGGCGTATCTCGTCAGATTTCTTGACGGAGAGCAACTTGTAGGCGCCGGTGGCGAGGTTATTGGAGACCTCCTTGGCGATAGCACGCTGAAGGATCGACTCGAGTCCGCTTTCAGGGGGCTGATCGCCCTCTTCCAGTTCTCGTTTAACGTTGGGACCGATGGGCATATCACCATCAGAACCTCCGGCTGGTAGTGGGTGCGGTTCATCTCCAGTCGACTCCAGTCCTTGGATCTTCTTCTTCCGCTTGTTGAGGTAGGTCGCCAAGTCCAGGAGGAGGTACAGGAGGAGGAAGGAGTTCGGAAGTTCACCCACAGGATCGCCAAGTGGTTCGTCTGGTCCGTTTTCCCGTTGGTAGTCGCCAGTTTTCTGCCTCACCCTCCGCAATGGTGGGGAAGTCAGTTCTTGTTGATCCATGGCCACGTTGGCTTCCTCGTTCTCTTCCTGGACGGGGTCCTCGTCCTTGGTGAGGTCGATAAATCCCTTGGCCGGCACTCGAACTTCCCCGCATTTTGGAGATGCCGCTGAGCCATCCGGAGAGAGAGAGGGACTCCTCCGCGGCCGCTGGTCGGATTCGCTCCGGAGCTGCTTTCACGACATTGTCCTTGTAGGCAATCCACACAGCTCCCGGCAACGCAGTCATGATAACCCGGCCCGGACCATGCCAGTAGCTTTCCCTGGTCTTCTTGTTAGTCCCGGCGCCACCAGGTCCGCCGCCATGTGGTCTTGCTCGCCCCCGGACTGAAGGCCTCCTGGTAAACGAGGGCTGTAGCCAAGAACTCGTTGTATCGGAGAATAGCCGGCTTTCATTAGCAGGCGGTTCCGGGTCATACATGCTACATCCACCAATTCACGCCACTCGGTCTCGTTCTGGCAGCGGTAGTCCTGCATAGCCTTGTAGAGGATGTTCTTGAAGATGCCGCTGGCGCGTTCCGTGAGTCCCCGCTGGTAAGGTGCCTCCACTGGTGAAGGAACCACTTCAGTTCCGTCACGTTCGGCTTGTTTTCTGAATTGAGCCTTGTATTCTGGGCCCAAGTCAATCATCAGCCGCCCCGGTGGCGTGAAAAACCTCGTCCACTGGCGGTATGCTGCTCGAACATGGTCGGCGGTCTCGCCCTTCATCGGCGCCACCAGCTGGAAGTGGGAGTGCCAATCGATCACGTTGATGGCGGGCGCGGCGGCATTGCGGTGGTCGCGGATGTGGATCGTATCAATCCCGACCAGGTCGTTCACATAGATCTGCTCACGGGGTGGTGCTCCTCGTCGCGCTGGGTCCGGCAGTTTGTTGGCCTCGCACACGGAGCACCGCGTTTCCTTGGCGATCTGGATAACTTCCTGGGGGGCCCGGTTGTGATGTAGGATCCGAAGGAAACGTTCTCGTTCAGGATGTCCCAGGCCCTCATGGGCCCTTCTAACCATCTTTTCCAAGGTCACTCGCTGCTTGGTATCGGCCTTCCGCCGAAAGATAGTTGCCACGCGTGGTTTCCCAGGCAGAGCCCTCTCACGGTCACGTAGGTCTCGCCATCGGATTTCATCTTCGATCTGGCTCCACCTTCCTTGATCTTATATCCAGCTGCTTCGCCAAGGAAACTCTTCAGTCGACGTGGGCCCAGGTGACCGGGTCGAAGCCTTCCATCCACCATCTCGTAGATGATCTTCTTCGACACCATGATCCGCGGCAAGGAGGTTCAGGTAGTTCCGCAGGTTCACCGGCGTGGGCTTCATGACACCGAGGTAGTCCGGAAAGGTTGCCCTCGTCAATCTCCGCAAGCTCGGCGTAAGTAAAGTAGGCCTCGTCATGGACCTTGTCTTCATCGACAACATCCTGCGCAAAGGTCGTCTTGAGATCTCCTAGCCGCCTTCCAGTAAGAGAACCGTAGGCAGTCCGGCGGTGGTGGGCGAGGTCGTCCAATGCATTCTCGGAGTCCTGGCCGGGGACCGAGATCTGCTCGAGGCGGTGCAGCAGCATAGGATAATTCGTCACCAGGTCCAGCTTCTGCTGCTGCCGCGGCCGCTCGAAGGTCTGCCGTGTGACACCGATCTCCTTGGAGAGGTCGTGCCAGAGCGGCTCGCCAGGAGCCCAGTGGACCCATGGCCTTGCCAACACGAAGCGCAGGCCGAGGTGCCTACATAAATGACATAGTTCAAGGGCAAACTTAAGCGCAGACTTGGCCTCCTTGACGGCCTGTGTGTGACGTTTCCATGCTGCCATGTTCCTTTGTCTCAGATCGGCTCGGACACATAATGTTCAAAAGTCCGGGACGATCATGTAGAAGATGACTTCGGAGTGATTCTCTGGCAGCTGACGTGAGCAAACGGTCACCTAATTCGATCTGGAAGACAGCACGTGTCGAGGCTTGGGCTTGGGAACATGTAGTCTGGCAATCTCTCGTACCTCATCCGGGCTAAGCTGAAACAGTTCAGCATAATAGGCCCGGAACTTCTTGTTGGGTCGACTGAGTTCTGTGAGAGCCTTTGACTCCACGCCGTCCTGTGCTTCGGGACCTAAGCATCGAAGCAGATCCGTTCACAAAGACTCCCAGCGGCGGAGGCTACTCATAGAAAGGCGCCTGGGAGCAAGGCGCTGCTTGCGCCCGGCATCTGCCCTCAGCGGCGTTTGCTCGAGGCGCTGGTCGCACTCTTCTCGGGCGCTGCAGGTCCTTGAACTTCTTCCAATCCAAGAACTCCTGGTAGTCCGCATCCATGGGATCCATCTCGTCCTCGTCGCTCTCCACTGCCTTCTTGCCTTCTTGACACGCCGGCTCTTGGGAGGTGATGGTGGCGCCGGCCTCGAGCTGTCCAGTTCGATCTCTGACTCGCCCGGAGTCGATCCTCCGGAGAAGAGGCCTGGTGTTGACGGTGCTGTCGACGCATCGCTGCCCAGCACCTCGGCACGCAGATGCAGTGGCACCTTCCAACGCGGATCCAGGTAGATCACCTTGCCCGTGCGCTTGTCCTTCTGGAAGAGCACTTTGAGGCAGTGCGGGCAGCGCTTCTGCACTTGAAAGGCATTCGTGCCGCACCCGTTCACCCCGACATGCGAGCACTGGCTTGAGTCGGCGTAGTAGGTGTTCTTGTGCCGGACATCCACATTGGCCGGGCGTAGGAACTCGCTATTTGGGCATCGGAGTCGGAGGTGGCGGTCCTGCTGGAGGCGGTGGCCCCGCCGGTGATAGTGGCCGGTAGCCGGAGGTCGTGGTCTCCCGCCTGAAGGGCTGCTCTTCCAGCCACTGGAAGAACGAACATCTCGTGCCGCCAGGACTTCCTTGGCCTCATCTTCATCGAAGATCTCCTGATCGTGATCCACGCCTCCGCCGGTGTCGCCATCGGCGTCATCCAGCTCGCCCAGGGCGCCCAGCAGAACCTCGAGCTCGCCGGAGTCCTGGTTGGCTCCGGGCCCTTCGTCAAAACGATCATCATCATCGATGCCTTCCACGTGCATCGCTACATAGGGCTTGGAGTTGGTTTTCCCCTGAGCTTTCCAGTCCAAGTCGGCTTCATGGACTCTCACCCACTCCTTCACGGCCTTCGAGGTGAGCTTGCCTTGCGTGTAGTTCAGCAACAATTTCACCTCGTCGCCGCTCAGCTGCAAAGACATCACAGGGAGAAACCCGAGGTACCCAGGAGGCAAAGTCACGCTGTGTTCTCCGAGGCGCCGGACTTGATTATCCCAGCGAGAGAAAAACAACTTATGATTCTCACCCTTAGCCCTCCTAAGCGTATAGGTGATCTTCAAAAGCGTATTCAGCACGTCCTCGCGAGCATCCTCGCCGTACAATTCCTTGGAGTCCATCCGGGACAGGAGCAGCTCGCCGTTGTTCTCGTCATTCATCCAGCTTGCATCCTTAGCCAGATGCTTCAGATCATCAAACGGCGTTCCAGACAAGCTTTTCAGCAACATTGGTCCGCGAGCCTTGGCTCGCACCTTTGTCGTGGCTAACCAAAGCTTTGCTCTAATCTGGTAATCACGAAAGCTGCTTTGGCCGTCCCAAGTCGGCGGAGGGCCGGCTCCGGCGCCCTTTCCGCCTTCGTCGTCCTTGTCGTCATGGTCTTCCGAGCCCCGCCGGGCCCGCCAAGATCTTGAAGGTCCTCTGTTCTGCATGAACTCCCGGAGCCTCTGAAACTCTTCGGGGTCCGGCTGTCGGCTCGGCCTGTTTCCACCTAAGGCTTGTGCCCATGGATCCAGGTCATCGTCGTCATCATCATCGGCAGCCGCGCCGCCGGGTCGTCCCTCGTCGTCTTGGGCTTGCTCTCCATCCATAGAGCCGTGGTCAGGCACAGGAGAACTCGCAGCCGGAATACCGCTAGCAAGCTTTCGGAACAATCACTCAGCCTCAGAACCCGTTCTTAAGGCTTAGGAGCGAACTAAGCTCCGCTACCACTGTCGCACTTGGCGACAGTGGTCCTCTGCTAACAGCTGGCCTTTTCCGTTGGCCGCCTTGAGCCACCAGTCGTGGCACGGTCGCTCCTGACGTCTGCAAGACTAGCGGTTGTTTCGGAACTGCTGTACACAAAAGACACTAGGTCACCGCGTCGGCCCCCCAACAATTGCTGAGAAAGCACGCCGTTTCCCAGTCAAGCTACGCAATTCGTTGACCTTGAATGACCGCAAGAAAGATGAACTCAACGATTGGATCAAGCAGGTCGAGGAATGGGTTGGCAGCCAAGGTAACGATACTTTCCTCACCCGCGTTAGACACGCTGCAGTGATATGGGGACTGCCGCCAGGCAACGTCGCAAACTTACTGGAGCATTTATCGACAGCGACGCTGCCATCTGTGGCAAACGCAGCGCGCTGCACAAGCAGCGTGCCGCATCATCAGCAGCCTGTCTGCTGAAAGTTTTGCATCATGATTTTCATGCCTTTTGCGTTGCTCAAGTGTGCGTGGTGCGCCTCGCGCTTCATGAAGCACACAGCTTCCTGACACTCATGTGCTATCATGTGCTGAAAGGCGTCACTCATGTGCTGAAAGGCGTGTTTCGTGCACTTCGTTTCCAGCCAGGGTACCCCTCTTTTGCCAAAGTTTTTCAGTGAATCAGTGTTGTACTTGCGGTTTTCACCGCAGCCGACGCAGGCCAAGCTCTACTACATCGGCAGCACTGAAAAGTGCACCACGGCCCGCGAACGCACTAGGTTCAGGAAACACAAACAGGCTGTGGAAGAGAGGCTTGTATCTGCGGAACTAGCCCTCAGATACTGGGCAGAGAAGTGCACTTTCTGGTGCTGGCACGTGGTGCCCATATCTGAACAAGTGACCCGCAGAGTTGCTCAGGGGAGGGGAGCAGGCTCTCAGACATACCCTGCAACCTCCCCTGAGCTTTCCTTTCATTGCTCGATGGTTTTGCCCGAAACGAAGCATCCTGAAGCCACCTGATGCCGCGTTTGCAAATCACATCGGCTTATGTAGGCTGTGGAAGGACTCTGCCCGCGCTGCCCTGCAGCAAGGAGGCATTCCTAGCAGCCTACATGGGCCTACGTGCCATTTTTGGCACTCCTGCCTTTTGTACAAAGGAAGCCACCTGGGTCCTTCTCAGACGACTAGGAAGCAATACGTTTTCCTACCCTGCCCTGTGTGCTTGACATCGTCTTGCAAAACACTTGCCGGCATACATGGCGCCTTCTGCACTGAAAGCCGTGTCAAATGCCGTGGCTTTTCGAGGGTTCACGGCCTGAGTTCTACAAGCCTCTTCGGATACCTTCCCTGGTGCAAGCCAAGTACATGGACGAACTCCGATCATGTATGCGCGCATGTTTCACCAGAAGCATCAAGGTTGTGACTCCTTTCCATGTCCCAAAGTCCGGCGTGGTTTTCCCGCAGCACCCTCGGGTAGCGCAGGCCTTGTTTACTCACAAAGACGCCCTCCGACTTGCAAGTGTGACGTCATTCTGCAGGAGGCCCCTGTCTTCGTGGGCCATGTGGCCGCTTCCGGGCACCATCTCTGCCGATCTTTCAGTGCTCTGGAAAAGGAAGTAGTGTGCGGGTCTACAGGAGACAAGTACTTCCCACCACGACAACAAGTCCGTGACCAGTTCCTCAACGTGTGGAAGGACTGGTGCAAAAAGAAAGGCCTGCCTGAACCCCCCAGAGGAGGCCTTCCCATAGCTTGGGGAAGAACACATGCAAGAAGTAAAAAGCAGGTACCACAGCAGTTACGTCGATGACAGCGTCAAGTACCAGACCCAAGGTGCCATTTGGCACTGCGAGCATCACCAACCCCGTGCTGCAGTGTGCTACTACCCTACGCTGTACCACACGATGCTTTCTGGAACCTTCGCGAACCAGAACATCTTCCACGCCGTGGACGATGCGTTTGAGCGCCAAGTCCACGACGTTCAAACAGCAGCCAAACGTGCTCTGCAAAGACACTACTCCCGGGATTTTCGCCATCGCTCCAAATTCCTACTGCATATGACATATGCACTCCCCGAGCGGAGAAGCGACTTCCAATCGGGGAGACCTATTGTGTCTTTCGTTGATGCTTTCATGCGACCGCTGCTGGAAGCCACTGCCCGACTGCTATACCGTCTTCCCGCCATTGCTTTCCCTTCGGCTTTTGCCAAGGGTGACGTGTACGACTTGGTAACCAAAGTTTGCAAGTTCTTTCAAGAAGGCACCGATGAAGCTTTGCATTGCACAATCAAGACCTCAGCGGTTTTTCACCAGCGTTTCTGTTGCCCAATTCCAGCAAGTGCGGGAAATCACACGGGATTTCTATTGACAACGACACGGCCTGGACATTGACACCGTGTTCGCTGTTGATCTGAAACAACAACAGCATGTCCTCCGCGTCTTTAGAGGAAGACGCTGAGCCCCTGCCATCCGACACGTCCGCATATGGGTTGGGGACATACCCACCATCATTCTGCACGCACTTGCCATGCAACACTTCAAGGTATGCGCCCGTGGGTTTCGTCGAGCCCAAGGCTCTCCCATGGGCTCACCGTTGTCACCGGCCCTGTGTAGCATGATAGTGGCAGCGCACGAGGAAAATTGGCAACGCACTTTCTGGCCCACCTTGCCTCGGCATGAACTTCAGCCTTCTTTGGTCTCGCTATGTCGACAATTGCTGGCCATCGCCGCCCAACCAGGAGCGAGCTTTTTCTTACCATCATGTCTGTGGTGGCGACATCACAGGAGAAAATGATCCCGCTTTCGACTTGTGCATATGCATCTGACATGAGGTCTACTGCTTTAGGGTAAAGTGTCTGCGGTTAAGGGTTATCGCTTCCAGTCCCGCAATGATCGGATGGTCTAGTACCGTGTGCCCCAGACAAGGGGCACTGTGTGTGTGAACGGTCCTCATTCATGGACTTAGGGAGGCCACTCTCCAAATCTTCATTTGTGCAGGGGGACGGAGGGGGTGCAGGGGAGCTCCGTCCGACGAAGCTCTCCCCTGCACCCTAGGACAACGTACCTGCACGGGTCTGCGCCTGGGCCCCCGGCGTGGGCAGCTGGCGGCACCCTCATGCTTATTTTCACCTTCATCTCATTTCGTGCTGTGTGATACGGTCGTCTCACACAGCGAGGGCAGGACCCGGACCCTCACGGATCATCTCATCTTGTTTTCGCATGCCATTCGTGTGGTCTGGCATACTTGGCACCAAGATTCTCATTTCATCTTCTTCGGCATCATCATCATCAACATCATTTTGTTTCATTCAATATCTAGCGTAACACCCTTTGCGGGATCCATCCGGGAGTGCAGACAAGACTTCTTCTGTGTGTGTGTGTGTCTGTGAGGGCGCATGCGTGTGCATGACGCAGGTTTCTTCCAAGCCTACGCTTCTGATTCAGCTGAGCTTTACTTGTGCCTTCCCCAGCGACAAAACAGACAAATTGGTAGGGCAAAGCGCATAAGTCGAAGTGCGTCTTCCGTAAATAGTAAGTTCATTGTCCATGCTGAAATGCTCGGGTTGGGTGGAGGATCCAGCGGCCTACACAATGGCGATAAAGGTGGATTGGAGAGGTTTGTGCAGGCTTCCTGATGACTTTCCACAATCTTGAATGTGGGGGCAGATGCCAAGCGCGGGCAACACAAGATGTATCCAGCTGAAGCTTCGAGGCCCCGAGATCTAGGGAAGGTCTTAGTTTCAGTTTGCAATATATGTGTCGGTGGCTAGAAACCAAGACTTGTTGGTCGTGAGTCCTTAGCGCCATGCCTGCTTGTCCTATTGTCACTACTCGTGTCAGCTATGCTTCTTCTACGCACTTTCTCGTCCGACCAGCACTGGTTGTATTGCTCGTATCGCAGCGAAGTCAACCAACATCCCTAAGTGATTAACCGGAGTAACATGCAAGTTCGTGTTGCCTGCTGGACCTTAAGGGTTTAGGCCCAGCAGAAGCCGTTAAATTGCAAGTGACCTGTTTGTTGGACTATCGATTCAAGTCTCCAGGCCCAGATATACTTTGCATCCTGCCTAGTAGATCAGCTTCAGTGTGTGCTGAAGACATACAAACGGGATTCTCCCTCGGCATGTTGCCGTGCTGAGGCCTTGGTGGGTACTGTCCTCGGAGCTTGTGCTCAACAAAGAGGTGGGTGACTTTGGCAAACATGTAAACGTAAACCAGAATTCCAGACATGTTGACACGAGGCCGTGATTGATTTGGTCTTGGAGCCTCCAGTGCCAAAACTTGGGCGGCATGCGTCGCCTGATGCCTACGAGGCGCGAAGAGTAAGACTTTGTGCTGGCACGCACGGATTGCTGATACATTGGTTGGTCGTTTGAGTCTCGATTCGACTCAGCACTTGGAACAACAGTTGGCCTGTGCCAGGCTGCTTTTCGGCGCATGAGAGACACACGTCAACGTATCTTGGTTGCACGTGAAGTTGTGCTTGAGAGCACGAGGCTCAAGACATCAAAACAGGTGCAATATGGCATAGGTGCGCAAACTTGACAAGCGTTTGCCATTTTGCTCACCAGTGGATAGCTGCAGCAGGAGTCAAGTGGGCTTCTCAGCTTTTGATTTGACTTAGATTGCCTCGCCCATGCAGATTGTCATGGGGCATGAGCCACTGAGTCACTGAGGGACTGGTGGTCAGAAAGCCAGGCTGCACCCTCGAGTGTCTCAGTCCCAGAGTCGTGGGCTTCGTTGGTGAAGGTTCTTGGATGTCTGGGGTGTTGTGGTGTTGTGTTCCGACACTTCCGAGGCCATGCAGATTCGCGCAAGGCACTGCTCAAAATCACTCTGCACTTCGTGCTTGCAGAATTATGGCGAGGACGATCGCATTCCACTTCATGCAATGGCACGAGACGTTCCTGGTGCACAGATCAGCACGGCTGTGTTCAGGCTGGTGCTGATGTCGGTGCCGACGGAGAAGATGAGCCTGACCACTCTGCAGGAGCTCTGCAGTCATGCACTCTTGAAGGCTCATACATGAGTTGCGGATTCACAAGATTTACAGGAAGAAGCTTCGCCGCTTCCTGCTGAGTGCCCCAGCTTGGAGCGCTTGAATAGCTCTGGGCTGTCACTAGACAGTGTGCATGACTTCTGCGTGCCAAATGAAGGTGTGCATGCACTCCAGAACCGGGACATACCCTTATGTTCTTGTCTTAGAAGGGGATGGGCACATCATGCACGTTTTACTTCGTAGGACACTTTCGTCGTTGAACACCAGCTGTGATCAGCAAAACTTGTGCCCAGGACTGATGCACTCTCCCCAGAGGACATGCGGCTTCTTTTTCAACTACAGGCATTCATCGCAGACTCGCACTTGCTGCATGCACGGGCACGGCAGTGGGCTAGAACTCTGTTCAGTTTCCCTTGGACTTGCCTGAGAGGTCCGGAACAGCGAGTTGAGATCCGCGTTGAATTTGGAGGAGGAGGAGCTGCCCCAGGCCCGACACCCGAGAGCCCAGCAGAGCCAACTGGAGCGTGAGGTCAGGCACACGACCGTATTTGTTTTCTTTTCGCAACTATGCCGTGAAGACTCGGTCATGCACAGGTGGACTCTCAGACCGATGAATTCGTGGAGCAGCTGAGGCGGGAGAGTTTGATGTGCTGAGGGCACCATCAAGGTTTCGTATGTCCAGGCAAGTTGCTGCAGAAGGGCATGGGCTCGAGTCTGAGCTGCAGTCCTTGGAGCAGGAGGGGGTATGGGCCTTTGCCGGTCGCGACCACAGCTTGTCGTCACGTGCTTTTCGGCAGGATGCAGGTTCCGCACTGGTTGATTCCCTAGTCACAGGAGCTTGTGAAGATGACTCCCAAGCTCACCGAGGCGGGCGGGGCGGTCTTTTGCAGGATGGGTTTCAATCCTAATTTGGGGTCCAGTCGTCTGCTTTCACATGCTGATGCGAGTTTGTCAGGCATTCCAGGTGCGTGCTGTCGTGTGTCCTGTTTCATGGGGTTGAGAGCATTCTGTTGAGTGTTTGCAGCCTGCTTCGTAATGCCCAGGCACAGTTATCGAAAGTGGACCGCCAGGCTCCTTGCATGTGTTTGGTGAGCACTGTCGTGCCTGCACCGGGTGAGACTCTCCGTGGTGCGAGGAGGCAGTCAAGCAACATGCGGAAGGCCATGAAGCTGCAGCTCTTCGAAGGCATCCTTCGAACTGTCCGTGAGCATGTTTGCGCCTTCCTCCCAGGCCGACTTGTAAAACACTTGAATGCTTTGACAGCAGTGTACGACAGCACGCATGGAGCGAAAGCAGTGTCATGCTGACGAGTGTAAGCGTGCTGTGCTTGTCTGCAGATTCTACGGATCTCTGTGATTTCCGAAACGGCCGAAGGTCCTCCGCTGATCTTGTGCAGCAGGTCCAACAGGCTGGGGTGCAAACATGCTTTGCTGCAACAGTGTCAACACATCATCAGGCATGCTGAAAGTGTGCTACATCGCCGTCGATTTGAGGTTTAGTGGTTCAGTTATGGTCACCTTTATAAGTTCCGGCTCCAAATCCCCGCGAAGCTGCTGCCGCCGATCTTACCCACTTTTTAGGAGCTTGGGGAAGCGGCAGAAGTTTGGGGTGTTTGGGGTTGGTTGAAAAGCCAGTCGGTTCAGTCTTGTTTGGCAAACTTTCTCGAGCCCTAGAGGCCCACGCACGGCCCTCGAGGTACTGCAGGCACTTCATGTCCGTTCAAATTTCTGAACCCAAAGCCAGTTGATTGGACCAGCACTTCAGAGGGCTGGAGGCGAGTTTGAATGATTGGCAGCAGGAGGCGGGTGGATAAGGGAGGCTTGGAAAGAACGGCCAGGCAAGGTGCGCAAAGTTTGTTCCTGGCTCAACCCGTTTCTCACCAATCGCCAGGACGCTTCTTTGCATCTCTTCGTCACATACCTTCATTGGGTTGAAGATGACACATCAAGAGCTCTTAAAAAGTGAAGCTCAGCATGTCACACATTGACAGAAAGCTCTCCATGCAGCTCCCCAGATGGATTCTCACTGCAGCTCGATGCGTGTCATTCAGTTTTGTGTTTACAAACTGGGAGTGGGTTTGAAGTTGTGTCTTAATGCCCAACCGTGTATCTCTGAACGTTTATTGATTTCCGTCCTGAGTTGGTGCCGACAAAAGAAGGTTGACGCATGACTTTTTTGTTTTGTTTCAAGTCGTTTGAACCAAGCTTCGACAGACTCAGCTTTCTGATTGGTGTCGTGCAAGTCAGCAGCAGTGCTGCTGTGCCTGCCAGTTTGGCTAAGTTGCCGTGGTGGCAGCGAACATTGAACCCTCCCTTGATGTTGGGTTCAGGGCCCCTCTCCAGAGCCACTCCAGGTGACGAGGCAGACCATAGAACTGAGCTCCTGCCCTGAGCTGAGCCGCCTGTTGGAGTTACTCGTGGGCGACGGAACTTGCACTTGCATCCGCACCGCGAGAGGCTACGAAGATCAAATTCGAGGACTGGAGGCCGAGCCGAGCAGTTGCGGACTGTACGCGACACAACTGTGATTCGAGTTTCTGGACTAGCATGCCCGGATGCGCTCGTTTCAGCGGTCTGTTAGCTCGGCGTGTTGCTTGTAGGGTCCATGCTTTTTGTGCGGCGCTGGTGCATGCTCAAGGGGTTCATGTGTTCTGCATCCAAACTTGGGCATGCAAACCCAACCTGATGCCCTGTGAGTGGGAGACTGCACTCATGATGTTGCCACAAACCAACGCTGATCATGAAAATGCTACTCTTTTGTGATTGGCTTCTCCAAAACCCCTGGACTTAAACGAAGAGTCAGGTTCAACAAAAGCTGGAGTTGCAGAAAGTTTTGAGAGACGAGCCTTTATCACGGTGCCACAGACCGAGCCATGCCGTCCAAGCATGGACACTGGGGAGGCTCGCCTGATCACAGTGGTTCTTGCAGGTCCAACTCGCATCGAAGTCCTAAAGGCTGGGCTTTTCCTGGTCGAGCTGGCGGAGGCTCGTCAGATGCGCTTTGCAGTTGACTGCGTTCTCGTTTCATATTTAACTCCTCTGGATCGACCGTGGCCTGGAGAAAAGTGCAAACAGGTTTTGAACAAGCAAGGCCGACAAGGCCTCGCGGACAACACTGCCAACAGCAGCTCACAGCGAATCATCTCGCGAACTTGTTGAGAATCGGCTCCCGAGTGTTAACGATTCCTGAAGCCGCTTCTGGATTGGAGTGCCTTGCAGAATGTACCCGCCGCTTTGTCAAGGCAGTTTGAACTGCCTTCAAGGGAATGTGGCAGAATTGGATAGCGTCTTTGTTCAGTAGAGTCTTGGGCCGAAGGATTCACTCCCACGCTGCATATGCATGCTTTGAGGTGATGTGGTGTCATGCGTGCCCCTTTCTCATCCCCGGCAAACGAAGCATGTGATGAGGTTGCAGTCTTTGCAGACCCGCTCGGCACCCACTTTACCTTTTGCAGCCTCGATTCCACGCTTGCTGTGCCTGGAAAGCTGAGGCCGAAGTCAGTCGACCAGAGTGAGGTGGACTGTGGGCAAAAGACCATACGACTGCGCCACCAGACTACATGCCACAAAACCCTGGGCTGGGGCAGCTCCCGATGTCTAGGGAGTGTCTGGAGTTTAGGGCCTGTTATGAAAAGCGTGCTTAAATCTAATTAGTCAGCGTAGTGTAACTCGCTCGCTGCAGAGTTTCTTGCATGCCAGTACGATGCTTCCAGCTGCTACGGAGGCGGGGAATAAGACGAGCATGGCCATGTTGTGTTGCCACCAGGGCAGTTTTTTGTGAAGAATTTTTTATTGCAAATCTTTGTGATTGGTTGAAGTTTGCATCGTCTCTTTTGTTGCGACATTCTTGTTTCCAGGTCCTGGTCCGGGACCTGAGCCCGGAGCCAGGTGTGTGCTCGGTTTGCATGCGATTGGGTGTTGCAACCCATCGCGGGCTTGGTCGCAGCGGCTTTGCTTTCTGTAAGGTTGGGCCGACTCTACAAGGGTGACATCGTGGCTGCCCAGGCAAATACACGTGTAAGGTGTGCTGAAGCTGATATTGCACAAGTCGTTCGTGCATTCCTGCAGTAAATGCCTTTACTTGTAGCATCCTTTCGGTCCTTTCGTCAGAGAACAGGCCACTGCACCGCTGTAGTGCGTCATCTGTGCATGTGAAGAGTGGAGGAAGGAGCAGAGTCGGCCTCGATGCTCCCACTGAAAGCACTGAGAGGCATGTGACGCAGCTTCACCAAGCGAGGCATGACACTGACGAGATTGTTCAGAAGCATGTTTTTGACACACATTTTTTTACTCTAAACGCGTCTGTAATTATGGGCTACCGTCGCATTGCTGCCAGAAGTCCTCTCGACAGCACTCTCGACTGTGTTGGCTTGCATCCAATCTGACTCTGCATCGAATCTGACATTGTCTCTGCATGACCGCTTTGTTCTGCAAGGATTGGCTGCGTCTTCTGTTTGACAATCCTGTGAGACGCAGCTCCCCTGCAAGCAGCTTTCTGTGTTGTTTCCTCGGCACGGACTGTTGGCAAGGTACTAGTAAAGACTTGCTCTTGAGGTGCACTGCGCAGTGCCTGACTGGTAGCATTGCTGTAACTGGCCGAGCCACCGATGTTGACTTTTGCGGTCAACGATAGACTGAGTTTCTGGAAGACGTCTTCTATTCCGAAGCTCTTGGTGACCTAGTGAAGCAAGAAGTTGTGCCTGACCTAAAGTCTTCAAGTGGATTGTCTCCAGTCGCGATGCTGTGCCACTTTGTTGATTTAAGGCCTCGCTTCGTCATGACTTGCTTTTAAAACTTGCCACCATTGCACCGTAGTTTGGTAGACTCGATTTGTGCATCTGTCCGCTAGCTCTTGCAGTCTTGCCAGATGAAGACAATCCGTTGGTCCTTCCATGCTTTTCATCCTATCCAAGCTTCTTCCCGACAGCATGGTCGACGGGATCCCAATGGGTGGCGAGCCTGCTTGACGGTTGTTCTGATGTGAGGGATATGACAAGCCATCGTGGTACCTCTGCCATGAGACAAGGAAAGCTTCCGATTTACATTCAAGCGGTGTCAGCGTCCATTGCTGACTAACTATCAGTCGTTGTGCATCCGCCCTTGTCGCTAGGGAACGACTAGGGTTTGGATGGCTTGGTGCATGTTGCAATTTCAGGCAGCCTGACCCGAACGACTCGCTGTCGACGAATGACTAGACGTACATGCAACATTGATGTTTCTGGCTTTTCCGCAACTATCATGTGTTGGGGCTGTGACAGAACTGTGGAACCCCTGCCACACAACAAGACGTTGCCAACAAAGAGTTCGATATCCTGCAACACTGAATTTCCGAGGTTCGTGACTCTAAGCCGTGCGTAGCCCGTTTGAGGACATTGCATGGATGCATGGCACGGTTTATCCGACACTCTTTCCGACTAATCTGGTTGTCGGCTTGGCTCCGCCGGCACCCCTATACTAGTACGCACAGGAATCAAAGCGCAGCTACAAGGAAACTGCAATCCAAAATTGTTGTGGCAGGCTGTCCACAGTTGCTAGCAGGATCAAGAAGTACCCGGTCTTTACGCAGCACCAGACAAGCATGTACCATCGTTTCGTTTCGTTTCAACACTGTGCAGCATCCGCTACTGAATTAGGAGCCCCAACCTTGACTGCTTTCGAGATGTCAAGGTCTGGTGGTCTTGGGAAGCACATGGCACTCCGAGGAGACTTCACGAAGTTTCATGTGTCCTTTCAGTGACCATTCTCGGCCACTGTGTAGGATTCAGAGGAGCAGCTTGGAGTCTGGGCTGCAAGTAGAGCTTTCAGAAAAGGGATCTACAGGTCTGTCTTGTGGCCAAGCGGCAGCCAACGACGGTGCTTTCTGATCCTTCGATCCACGAGTGCTTCCCTGAAGTTCTCCCACATGATCTTGATCGTCATCATGCAACCCGTAGTTCAGTGGCAAAGCCGTTCTGGAACATAGTTTTGGAGGATTTTGGAGCCTTGAGAGGGCTCTCTTTGCTTCTCGAGACCGTAGCTTTGGTGGAATTGATGCATCACTGGAACCCTGAGATAGCTACTTTTGCGTTCATGGCAAAGATGCGCTCATAGGCGTGGAGATTTCATCCTGCCAGGATCCACAGACCAAGAGTCGGACACCCGGCCCGGACGTGAAGGGTTTCTCGGAAAAAAATCTCGGAGACAAATTTTGGAGGGACAAGTCGTAGGAGGTCCCTGCTATAGAAGCACGTTCGCGTGCCATGTCGCTCTTCTTCGCGTTTCGAAGTCTGACGGGCGATGAGCTTCTGCCCATTGTGACTTTCAAAGTGGCGAACAGCCATGGCCCGGATCGGATAGTATTTCAAGCGCAACGCGACTTCGCATTAAGTTTGACGAAGTCGTTGAAGAGGCAGCAGAGGGGAGGCATAACCAGAACCTCAGTAGGTTCCGGAGGATGGTACAAGGCTGGTTGATCACTGAAGCGCAGGGTGCGATATGACGATTTGAGCAGTCTCAGCTCGCAAAGCTCACTCCGTCTCCCTTGCCAAGGCGATGCTGGAACCGCCTGACTCGTCCCAAATTACTCATCAAGCTTATCCTCTTTCTCGGAATCCGATCATTCGATCATGTGGATCCTCTTTCACTTGGGCCAGCAGTGAGTCAACCCGTGAAAGCGCCTGAACAACTTGCACATTGCACGCGCGTGTGTGTGTGTGTCTACATTGGAATGATGTGTGCGTGCATGGGACACTTGGTGTGCTGCAAGATTGCGGCTCTGCCATCACAGCTTGCTGGTGTAGCAGGTTGTGTGCCTCGAGCTAGTTGAGCCTTGTAAGGATTTTGCTCTTCTCGCCCACCACGTCCCTGCAAAATGTGTGGGGGGTGAAGGCAGTCCCGACCATAGGGTGGCGGCTGCAACCTCCTGGGCCGGAGGCTGCGCGTAGAGGACGAATCCCCAACGTCACCGAAGGAGAAGTGCTGTGCGGCTGAGCATGGTGTCCATGAAGCAGCGGCTTGTTCAGTCTCAAGTGAAGCATCTTCTATGTTTGTGCAGTCATGTTTAGGCCTTCTTAGTCTGAAGTGAAGTAGTCTTCTCTCGTCACGACAAAAGTCTGCAATGCCAAGCTCTTGCTCAGAATCCTAAGCGAGGTCCTCCTGTGATTTTTCATCTTTGCTTTGATTGGCTTTCCCAAAGAGCTCATTTCCCTCTTTCCGTGTCCAGTGAAACGGCTTCCGCCGGTCCGAGGGCCCCGTTGCTCATCCTGCCCTCGTTTCGGGGCTCGGAAGCGCTGAATTCCAAGAGGCTCAAAGTTCTATGGGGTTCAACTCACAGCTGTGTTTGGGGTCAGCTGGATGTATCCGGGCCGCTGCACTCACCGCCGAGCATCCGACAGGGCCTAGAAGCACACTTGCAGTCACTTGCAGGATAAGTTACGGCATTTGCATCACTGGGGCCAAGACCTGGATGCTCCAATCGTGCGCATGCATTTTCTCTTCCCGCCGAGTGGGTTGATTTGGTCTGTACAGTCTACATTGGTGCGTTGGCTTGACATAGTTTGAGTTGTGGAGTCTGCGTTACTGGACAGATCGGAACCCTTAGCGAGGTCGGCAATCAATTTAGGCTTGCATTTCGTGATTTTTGGAGTGATCCTGGTTTCGTGTTTCACGATCTAGTCATTCTGTTGCACTTGCTACAGACTACCCTTGTCTGCCGATCGTTGGACTTTACGCATGCAGAGAAAGGTCAGACGACAGCCGCAGCCCCGGATGTGAAGTCCAATAAGTGGTAGCATGCAGCAAGAATTACAACGGATTGCTTTCAACGGATTGTTTCTGGCTTTCGCTGATGCAGGTCAAGAGGATGGGACACGTCTTGCCAGAGTGGAAGGAGCGAGCCTTTTGGCAAGAGTTCTTTTGATGCCCGCCGCCCATGTTGAAGAGATCTCAACAACACAGGTTGCCTTGCTGGTGGTTACGTGCTGCGGCGGCATGTCCTGGTAGGCAGCATGCTGTGCCTCATCTGCGAACAGAATGGCATTGTCCACTGTCGGTGCAGCACAGCCCTGCTGGCAGTGGGTCTCTGAATCACTGAAAGCGCACAGCCTCTGTTTAACTGCTTACAGTAGCCTCCATGATGCAGTTGCCGTGGCAGATCACCCAGCCGTGCATCCCGGTAAGGACTTGGGCCGGCCCATTGAGACCACAAGTAGGAGCAGAAGTCTGCAACGGTGACAAGGACCTTCCACAGGAGTGCGGGTCATGGCGGGTCATTGCGGTTCTGCGAGTTGAGCATCTCTGGGAATCCCTCGCTCCTTCAGTTCAGGAGGCTGGTCTCTGGCCCCGGGATGTGCTTGAAAGATTTCGGGCGACCGGAGTCCGTCCGCAGTGGCATGACGCACCAGGCGGTCACAGAGGCATTTTGGAGAGAAGACTTTCAGCGCCTTCGCCCTGTGTTAAAGGTGAAGATGCCCTCGCACTGTATGGCGAGATGACACGGCACCAGGCTCTCAAGATCTCTCAAGTTCAAGGTTTAGTAAGCTCCCCGTCTCAGGTGGAGGAAGGACTGCGATCAACTGCCATGTTCCTTTCCAGAGCCGAGGCCCGGGCCGAGGCAAGGTCGTTCAAGACTTCCGGCTTGTGTCAAGAACTGTCACTGTGGGAGGCGGTACTCGTCGTTGTGGGCGAAATGTCCGCGGACTCTGCAGCCTCCCACGCCCCAGGCTAGCTTGGACCAGGCTAGGTAGGGAGTTCTGAGCCATGGAAGACCAGGACGTGAGAGATGGCAAGGTTTGTCGGTTGCCCAGGTATTCTGAAGACTTGCCAGCTTGCAGAACTGCAGACAAACACACGGCCTGCAAAGCAAGACACTTGAAGTACTAGGTTTGACGACTACACCTTCGAGCAGATGTGCACGAGACAAGCATTCGTGGAGTCTCCCGAGTCAGGGACTTAAGGCCTTTCGGAAGATTCACTGCAGCCTTTCCACAGACGTCCATCGCACAGGTCGGCCTGGGACTTTTGGCTACACGTATGTCGTTCGTGTCGACAAGCGGCTCCCCACACCGGCTCCGGCTACGACATCCTGGCGTCCCTTTGCGACGAATCGCAAGGACTGGCCCACGGCCCACATTTCTGAAGCATTACTGATTACTGATTCAAGACTTGCAGGAGTGGCTGTTGCTCCCTAGGACACGAGTCTAGATGGTTCTAGGCGTGTGGTCTCATATTCAGTTTAGATCCCACATGGCATAGCTGACTCGGTCCACGGACAGTCTACAGAAGCTCGTGTAATGACAGAGCTTCGCTCGCTCGTGGCGAGCTTGCAGGCCCTGGTGCTCTCCGAGTGGCTTTAGGATCTTTCGTGGAAGCCTCAGCTCGAATGCCAAGCTAACAGGCACATAGGTATGACGGTATGTCGGTATGACGTCTCGCATGGGTTTTACCTGGGCTCCTGCGGTCAAGCTTGGCAACGTTGAGAATATGCGACAGGCTGTGACAGTTTCTGAGTAGCACACGCAGAGCACGTAGGATCAGGCAAGCAGCATGCGTCACCGCGGCGACTTGCGGTCCGTGCGCTTCATTTTCGACGCTCTCGCTTCGCCCCGCCTTGAATACCGAAAAACCTGAGCCCCCGGCTGCCTTCCGGAGAGATGGCGTCAGTCTCTGCCTCTTCTGGCGCACTCGTTGGGCGGGCGGCTAGTGCCACTACCCTCGTCCAGCCCTTGGCTCTTGACACGGACCTGGAGGGCTTCGTCTACCGACACGCTCATTCGCATTGGGCACTCTATGGTCCGGTGCATCGCCATGTCTCGACTTCGGAGCCCACACCACTGACTGGGCGGCCACCCAAGGCACCCACGAGGTGCCCTTCCAAACTGCATCGCCCAGTGCATCGTTTATTGCCACCAAGAAGGTGGAGCGCAGCATTCGTCTTGGCTAACCGCTGCTAACCTGCGCCGGCAGCTAACAGGATCATCAAGCCCGTCGATCGGAGAAACAGGTATCTCCCTTGCCCATCATCGGTACTCTGGGCGCGACTTGCCAGTGGGGCGAACTGTCCCAAGACGCACTGTAGGCGGTGGTCGGAGACTTGCCGCAACCCCGGCTTTGGTGAACGGCGTGTTCGGCACGGTGCACGCATGTGCTTCGACCCAAAAGCGATGCACACGTCGCTGGCACACCAATGGTTTAGTCGCACTGCAGGCAAGCAGCGCGCATTGCCGCAACGACTTGCGGCTCGCGCGCCCCATCTTCGACTACCCACTCTCGCCACCCTTGGTTTTTCAGTTTTGCTTAAATCCCTTCGACTTTTGGGGCGTTTCGGCCAACTTTGGTTCTGCAGTTTTGACTAACATATTGTCAGCGCACCGCTTGTTTTCCAGGTTGTGACAACTTGCTGGGATGGTCTTGCTGCCTCGACCCTGCCCGACGAGTTTCTGTGGGAATCCCATGGAACAGTACAGGAACTCGGCCTGTTTGCATGACTCATCATTGTCTTTTCATGTGCTCAATATTCTCCATCCGAAGATGCCCATGGATCTGCCACGGTCTACACAAATCCTGTAGGTTTTTTGATATGTCTTTACAGGTATTTCCTGTATACGAGCCACGTGGCAGACATGTCCAGGAGCTTCGCTGCTCCGGCGCCTGCTTGCAGACTTGGCCCGTTCCTGAGGCGAGGAAACACAAACAAAGGCTGCAGTCATGTGCAGTCCTTAGCACATCCCGTGTCACCGATAGCCAGTTGCCGCTAGCTGCAAAGGGGGAGGGGGAGGGGCGGAGTTTTTCCAGGAGTTGCTCGAGAGCAAGCGACGCAGCTTACCAACTTGCCCGAGGCCCGAGGCGTGGTTTAGCCATGCTCGGCGTTGCCTTGGCAGAGACTCGGCGGCTGCAGGTGCGGCGAGCCTGCCTTGCCGGGAATCCGCTTAAATGATGAGGCGTGGCCATGCGCAGAAGTTAGAAGCCGTTGCGTGTAGATAGAGTCGAACAGGTGTTTGATAGTACGAGCATGAGTGGCATGATGCTGAGCTCGTAAGTGTGCCCTCGTGCTTCTGATTGGGTCGCGCTTGCTGCAGTTTCGGTAGGACTGACCCATGCTCTGTGCCTCTCTGTGCCAGACGGAGTTCCGGACTATTGCCAGCCGGGCTCAAGAAGCTCGCTTCCTGGCGTGGCACAAGCGATGCTCAGCTGCCAGTCCCTAGGCTGCAGTTTCACGAAAGTTAGCGAAGCGAGTTGTCCTTCGCTTGTGTCTGCGGTTTGAGTTGGGGGCAGGCCCTGGACGGTAGACGGATATAGTATGCCGTTTCGTGAGAAACACACCCTGCCGGGCATGCAAAGCAAAAAAGTTGTGACGTGGAGTCGGTCCTTCCCGGTCGGAACGGAAGGAGACAGGTTGTGAGCCTTTGTGAGCCAAGGCCAGATCCTCGTACTGGAGATTGGTTGCAGCCCCGGCCTTGAGCCAAGTGTCCCTGTGAATGCGAACTTTTGCTTCGCGTCCGCCCAGATTCGCAGGCTCCGAAGGCAGACGCAGGGCCGAAGCCTTTGCAGGTCCGGTCGGTTCTGGCGCTCTGTGAGGTGATATCAGGCACACAGGTTTCGAAGCCTTTTCGCGCTGGAGCCCTGCATAACCGGCTAAATCGCAAGGAGACTTTGATGCTACACGAGTGAGGCCTGCGGCATAGCTCCTTTCTTTCATGTGACATGGAAGATTCTTCGGCAAGTCATGAGATGCGTATCTGCAATCCGACAAGTGTAGGAGACCGGCAATAGTGACTGTGGCCGCGGCGCTCCGTGTTGTGCACTGCAGATCTGCCTGCAGTGGTCACATCTAGTTGCAATTTGCAATCTCAAGTCTTTGTGCCAGACAGAAGATCCAGTCATGTAATCTTGCTGAGACAAGAGGCACGGAGCAAAACTCTTCTGCGAAGACAGTCTCATGAACTGTTCGAGCATCGTTTCAAGTCCTGCAGGTTCGTCCGCTTGAACCGGCACTTCCCTGCGCTGCCTCGGCGGCACAGTGGCCGTGGGGTAGCCCTGCCGCTGTGCAGCGATGCGCTGAGCCGCCTCAAGGCCAAGACGCGTCGCCTCACGGATTCATGTACATTCTATCTCATTCTATATTATTGAACTGTGCAGAGCTCCGGGAAGGCGTTGATGTCTGCTCTGGAGATGGGGGCCTTCGTGTTTCAGGCTTGGTACATTTTAACGTGCCAGTTTCCATTCTTCGTTGAAAGCACACCCATGCTTGCGACCGAAAACGCGGTGTGAGCGTGGGTGTGGGGATGTGTGGGGTACGGGGTGAGGGGCAGTCATTGAGGTAGCCCCAAGCTTCTGGAATCATCCTGCGAAGTTTTTGGTGCTGTGGAGCTGGGTCAAAGGCCTGGACCTGCTTCGTCAAACGACTCCATATTCGACACAATTCAACATAGTTCGCCTTGTGAACACCTGTGGGCCAGGGTCGAGATAAGTATTGTGCAGGTGATGGGAGTCAAGGTGTGCCGGTGGCAGAGGTTCTTGTTGTCTGCCGTTTTTGGACGAAGGACTCTCATGGCATGGGTGCCGAAGTTGTTGTACGGCGGGACGCACCAGTGGAGTTCGCATTCAGGAGCTCTGAGAAGCTGTGGGTTTGAGGGTTTGCTGACGATTCGACACTGCGCTCGAGGGGACGTCCGTAAGTCGCAGGAAAGCTACGCATCTCTCCACCCATGGCCAGACCGCAGATGTTGGTTTCAAGGCCCGGTTGTCTAACCGCTATTCGGGAGTGATCTCACGGAATGCCTCATTCCAGAAGTCCAGAAGACATATCTGCACGAAATGACCTGTTGCAGTACGTTGGAGGAGCAAAAGACCCCAGCGCAGATCTGTTGCCCATCCTGAACGAAACTCAAGCCCTGCTCATGATGAGCTTGATGCTGCAAAGGCTTCCAGTGTGCTCCACGAACATCGAACTGCGGAGCTTGGACCGAAGGAGACAGTGAAGAAGGACCGGATGTTTAGGTAAAGTTGTGTGCTGGCCCATCGGGTTGGATCCTACTACGGCGGCCACAGCAGCTAGCAGCACTTCGAAGTTAGGGCCGTGCATCGGGCAGAACGCAGCTCTGACTCAGTCGCCCTAAATTCGGCTTCTGGGGCCTGCCAGACCAGCTCTCAAAATTACGACAGGAGCTGCTCCCCAAAACCGGGCCAAGGTGTTGGTTGATGTCATGAAGTGAGTTGATGTATGATGAAGGACGACACAGTAAATCTGGGCAACCAGTCTTTCGGGTGACATCATGCAACTGCTTCGACGAGGCCCGGTGTTGACCAAAGGCTGTCGCCCAGACCCGAGCAGGAGATAGCTGCCCGATACAGAAAGACATACTGTGGGGGCAGTTCGAGCAGGGTCAAGGCATGTGGGAAGACGCACTACGCTCGCGCGACACCCATTGAAATACAGCAGGTGGTATGAACACTTGACGCTCTTTAGGCCTTTAGGCTCGCCTGCTTGCGGAGTCAGCTTGATGCTGCAGTCGCGTCTGGACTGGCGTCATGCGTGATACTGTAGTACTTGAGCATGCCGCTTTTGCCATCGGAGGACTTCTTCTTCTCGGACCGAAACTTGGATTGTGCATGGCCACCCGAGAATGAGTGAATTGAAGTGCTTGACTTGCTGGTTCTGAAACCGATTCCTTTGTTTTCCATTCGTTTTGAGCTAGGAGGGTGGTTCTGCTGTCATGCCTAATTGGACATCGAATCCCAGAAGCAATGGGCAAAGCTGGTTCGTGGTCCTGTCAAGCAGCTGAGTCGCTTCCTCACCCTTTTACGGCCAACCTGCGAGTGTTGTTGATCCCCAGGAGATGCTGTGCCGCCTGTTGTGCGCATCGTGGTGACCAATTTCTTTTTCCACGATCGAAACCGTCTTTTGCAAGAGCGACTGCGATCCTTGGACTTTTGATTCGGGATGTATGTTTGGATGTATGGTTGGGCAGGTCTGTCGCGAATGCTGCGGGCGGAAGCTTTCTTGGTCTCTCACGCTGAAAGTAAGTGGGCTTGCAAACTCTGAGGCCAAGTTTGGAGCCTCATCAAGGCTCGATCCGTGTTGTTTCGTGATCCGTGGAGCTGCTTTGTGTGTGAGACGCAGGACCTTGTTGAAGCTTTCCAAGCACATGAATACCAAGAGAAGTTCGAGGCGCTGGCATAGATGAGTCTGTATGCACGCATTTTACCAGTCCCGGTGAAGACGAGGATTGGGGTGCTTGACAAGGCCACATGCAACGGACCTTTTGGCTCAGGCTGCTCGCCGGGTTGCGCCCATGTGTCTTGCTATACTGGCGCTTTGCATTCGGGAGTCGCGGACAGCATCCTTTAGAACCTCTTGATTTGTTGATTCACTCGGGCATCGCCATGCCGCCATTCCTGGAGCAGGGCGGCTTTGAGAGACCTCTGCCACTTGATAGACTTGGAAGTTCCACAATCCACAGACGCTTGAGTCACCGCAACCTTGCTTGTCGAGCCACTCGCTCTTCCAGGAAGCATCTGGACGTGCCTGAGACGCCATCCACAGCGGTACCTTCGGTCCCTTGCTTTCACAGAGCCTTTTGAATTCCTTTGCATTGGCACGGCCTTGAGGTCACACCAAGTCCGCTGGGCAGCCCTGTGGTTGGAGAGAGCCTGAAGCTTTGCGGAGGTGAGAAGGCTCTGGACGTGCATCGCCCGGAGATTTCAACCTGTCCCGGCCGAGAGCAGCCGACCGGCGATGCTTGGTTGCTCGGCAAGCTGCACAAGCTGTGGAAGAAGCCTGCATGGCTTGTGCAGCATCGAAGTCAGTTTGTGTGCCTGGTCGCCCGCCTTGTATGGTTCTCACTGCTATTCAAAGGTTGGAAGGCAACGGTGTGGCCACCTTGGACCTTGGAGGTGATGTGGGAGCACCTGCTGGGCTTGCGATACCCGGTCATCCTGAAACATAGTGGGAACTCTTGTCAGATGAAGCAAACGCTGCGCTGCTGCGCTTCTGCATTGCCTCAGTCTGCAGAGATTCCAGAACCAGAACCATGCTGAAAGAACGAACCTGGCAAATGCCCCAACGTATCCGTAAAGATATCTTGTGGCATCTCGGAGTTGTGAGTTGGCTAAGATCCGATTCTGTCCCTGACAGATTTGTCCAACATGGTGGACAGGGGCACGGACATGCCGTGCTTGGTCGCCACCTCTGCATGTGTAGAGCTTTGGCTCCGCTTGCGGCGACCACTGCAGCTCTCTTCAGGAGGTGCAGTGCAGTGCGTGGCTGTGCAGCGTGCTGTGCGTTGTGTCTTGCGACGATTCGTCGTCTGGTTGTGCTAGGGCTTCTGGTCGCTGGCCTCTCGGCTGGGCCTCGGCCGCGGCCGCTGGGCCTTGTGAAGCCGGAGCGAACCGTGCCCTGGACTCAAGCCGTACCCCTGCTAGTGCAAAGCATAACTTCCGGGACTCTCGAGTTGATTACGAATGATGGTTATGGGCAAGCAGGCTCAACAAATAGAAAGATTCTTGGAGAAAACGTAGAGTCCATGTCAGCTGCTGGCCCCTGCAGGTTGTGGCAGAAGGCTTGCTGCATCGAGCTGCATTGAGCGTGGCCACAGCAAAATTGGCGGCACAGGCCACGGCCAGAACATGGAGATGTCAGAAATTCTATGGCAAGCGCAGTGTTTTGGAGTTGCTGTGGGTGTTACGTGCAAATCATCCGAGTATCAGCTGGCTGCGCAACTGCGCAGGTGCTTGCATCTTTTGCACCAAGCCAAGTCGCGCTGGTCCGGGCCACAGGAGTCTTGGCCACATTTTACGGAACTAGAGTAACTAGTGTTTACTGTGCGATGTTGTCGTCACAGTATTAAGCCTTGGCTTCGATGCTTGGGTCTGCTGAGGCGTGGTGGCTCGGGCAAAGCCTGTTGTTCCAGCGGCACAGCAGGTAGCGTGGTCGGCGCTTGCGCGGTGCTGCTCTGAGATCACTGTCGAAAGTGACTTTGCCACTGAGAACAGCGAACAGAGCCAATCCAGGTGCAGCCACACGCGATCGCAGCGTCGGCGACTGCTTCATGGAGCTTTGCTCGCTGCTGCAGGAGACAAGGGGCAAGCCTTCAATATCGGTGCTTTGGCAACTGCAAGCCTCGTGCGGACCTGGGCGTCTGCCCACCTGTCTGCTGCTCTTGTGTTCTTTGCTCTCGGGGGCTATCTCGAGGCGTTTCATCAAGGTTTTTATCTGCATGGTGCAGGGATGGACGCGGCCTGAACGAGGGGGAAGCTTGCCATTCTTTCAAGGTCGGAGGCAGCCATATGCACATGCATCAAATTATTGCCATATTCCAGCCCCACCTGAAAGAGGCACTGGGTCCCTCATGCACCTCAGGTCAGCCCATTCCGTAGCAGAAATTTACAAACAAAAACCGTTGATTTGCATCACTGGCATTCCACACCCTTTTCTTTCCCGTGTTCCAAACACGGCTGTTTTACATCGGGCAAGCTGCAGTGCCACTTCGCTCATACAACGACAGCTGCTTTTGTTCGGCAAGGTCTTAAGATCTCCACTGGACCACCCTTTGCACGTATCGGCGTTCATGCCTAGAACTCTTCAGCCTGCTAGGTCGACCGAGACGGGAATGGGCTTCTGAAGTAAGAAGTAGAGTGTTTCATTATTTGGGCGGCCAGCGTGAAGTAACCAGACCTGTACATGACCCCTTTGTCTGGTATCGAGCGGCGCATCAAGCCATGACGGTTTAGGGTTTAGGGTGTCATTATGACCTCCACGCTGCTCTCTTGAGCAGTGCTGCAGCCGCAAACGCTTTGATTGGCGTGGGGTGTTGACCCTTCATGCAAATTCATTCCCGTCTGCATCTTGTGGCAAGCTCATTCACAGGGCTTCTGTTAGCTAGAAAACTCCCTCACACGAGCATAAACATGAAGCCTTCGGCTTCATTAACTTCGACCTGTGGCAGCACAACGACCTTAGCAGGAACGACCCAAAATCGCTGCATCTCGGGCACAATCGAGGTACAGACCCCCACTTTAAGACTTTCAGCCTTTCGGCTTGACTCTGTATGGCATGATTTGTAAGTATGTTTCTTGCAGTAGTGTTCTGTTTGGACAATCGCTTACAGTGGGTTTGCGGCTTACAGTTCACAAGGCCCACACTTCCATCATCGCTGGCAATGAAAGCCATGTGTTTGCCTGCTCTGTGCCACCTCATCACGTTGCTGCCTGCCGAAAGCCTGGTGCCATTTCCTGCCTTCTGTGTGTGGAGGTCTGGAAAAGCCTTCAATTTCGGCCTGCGTGACACCCGCCTAAAGTCAGACCGTTTGACCGTTTTGGTTTACCACCGTCCAGGTTCGGGCAGGCGATGTCCATCCTACGAGCTCGGACTGCTCATAATTTTTTTGCGTGTGGGTGCTTACAAAGAGGGGAGGCTCCTGCTCCTGCTTTCCCTTTCGTTGTAGTCCGAAGATCAGCGCGGGGTGCATGGCGCTCTGCCTCATGCGAGTACTTGGGGCATGTTGATCCCGATCGCTCGATCCTCGACCTGCTGGAGTCTGAGAATTCATCCAACCGGTGACCCTTTCCTCTTCCACAAGAACCGGAAAACCTGAATCCGGCGAGGTGAACTTCAGAAGAACTTTGGAACACCACGCGGGCTATTGCATGTCCGCTTTGGAAGCTGCTGGCAGGGGCACTGCCAGGTTCTGGCACAAGACAGTGTGGATCGTCCCTTTGCGTACTTGCGCCGCCATGGCACCAGCTTCCTTCACAAGATTGCCAGTATCCCGCACAATGAGCGCTTGATTGTCACTATGATCTGCTATCTACATTGCCATCATGACTTTTGCAACGATTGTCAATAAGACTGCAAGGATTGCCATTATGACGTCTTCATGCCGATTGCCACATAGCCTTCTGCTGCTGGAATGCCATTGGAATTTCGCTTGACATTCGACTTCATGCCGACTGATTACGAGCATCTGCACCAGACCGTCGAATTCAGGTCGATAAATTCAGTTCCGCCGCTACGATATGACCAGCAGTGGAGGATGAGCTCGCCCTATTTTTCTCCTACATGAGCTTATATCCTCGATTTGGACGCAAGCTTCCCACACTTATGCTGGAGGTTCTACGTTGGTCTACAGGTCATCCTACGCTTTATCACCGCACCGACACGGAGATGGGCGACTCTCTATGGTGAACCCACCTGACCATGCTTCCTATGCTTACGTGTTTAGCCAACTCAGGGAGACGGTGGCTCCCAATACGCTGCAGCCGGAAACCTCTGAAACACCCCAACCGACTGTCAGGACTGCAGGTGCGCCCGCACTTTCAGACAGGCGCATTTCTGGATTACTAGCAACGTGATTTGTTCTATGTTGGACGACGACAACTCCCACTTATCATGCAACCCTTTGACTTATTTCACGATGCTTTCTAGGGGAGCCGACATGAGGCGAACCGGGGGACCACGGCCTTCCCATGCCATCTTTTATCGGCGAATGGTCACGAATGCCCGTTGTGCGTCGGGTGAGCTCCATCAGCGACTCTTGAAGCCTCCTTTCATTTTAAGGTTTTTCCCCACAGTGGCCGGAAATTTACCCTAGTCCTGCCATCGTCTCACCCGAAAAGGGAGCGAAGCGCCCTGTATAGACAGCCCCATCGTGTATGTAGTGTCCCTGGACCTTTTTCCCATGCCGCATGCCGTATGCCTTCGCCGAGCTCCTTATGTTTTCCCCACACGTTAGCCCCATTCAAAGGGCTGCTGGCGGGTGGTCTCATTTTTGGACTCGCTCTGCGCGACAGAGAGAGAGAGAGAGAGAGAGGGAGAAAGACAAGGGGACTGCCGATATGCAACTGACGGCAACGGGGTGACAAGGGACGGGAGGCATGTGTTGGTTCAGTTCACCTTGCGTCAAAAAGACATTGATGGTTCAATGTGACTTGTTTGGCGGCACGTGGTTTGTTGTGTGTTCCCCTGTCACGGAACATGAAGGCTTCTTGTCGGAAGTCAATTGGTAGAGCATGGATCGGAGGAGAGTTCGGCCTCATGCAACCGGCGCGGCTGGCAGATGTCGTTTCTGATTGGTGTGCGACGCAGGACATGTCGGTGACCAATCTTGGCAAATGACAGGGAGATAGCATGCCATTTGCCCGCCATGTTTTGGGCAAGATTGCTTTGCCATACATGGCCTGCGAGCCAGCTGGCTCCGTTTTGGCCATATCAAACAACCTTTGCTCTGTATTTTGCTGCAGGAAGTCGCAGGCACTCCTCTCTTGGTCACTGGAAAGGATGCAAGGGTCATTCCCACACTGCTTCTATCAGTTCTTGGTGTCTGGGCGGCACTGGCTTGCAAGGCGGCTTGATGTGGTCAGTGTGTCACAGTGTGTGTGTGTGTGTGAATTCTTGAGGAGGCTTGTTTGCCTATTCCTTCTTTGCATTGTTCGTGTCTGTCGCAGAAAGCCGTGAAGAAGTGCCTATGCGACTGCACCGCATGTTACAGGTTGCAAGTTGTTATAATTCTATGGTCATGATATGAGTCATGATCTCGAGGTTCGGTGCATGAACTTGCATGATTTTTGGCCAAGACTGTGCTTTCTATGACTCTACAGCCCAGGGCGGGGCGGACAGACAGGGCAGGGCAGATTGTGATCTTCTGTCAAACAAGGACTGAAGTGTCGTTGCCAGTAAGAGGACATGGGCCTCATGTGCTAAACCTAACGATCCTTGCGCGCGCTGCGTTGCGCTGCCTGGAGTGTGTCACGAACCATCACTCACATAGCCAATTCCAAAAGCGTATCTTGAACCGTTTTGAAAAGTGTATCGTACCTGTAGGCCACCTCAAAAAGTGTACCGTTCAATCGTATCCGACACCGTATCCTAAGCCCTAAAAGAAATTATTTTGGACCCTGCTTTCCTGTTGCACCTGCACACTTCATAAGCATAGGGTTTCAGCTTGAGGACGTGCGTCTTTAGAATGAAGAGATCTAGTTAATTCAACCGAGAGGAAAGCACAGGCAAGTTTTTATTTCAAGCAAGGACTGGGTCGACTTATTTTTACATCAGTCTGTCAGTCTTCTTAAAGAGTACAGGCGTTCAACGGCGGTACCACGCGAACAGCCTAATTGTGCCATGTCGTTTTCCCCTTGTCCCAGGTCGGCTGCAGAGACACCGGCCTCGGATCGATCCGCAGGACAGGGAGAGTTTCGAGTGTCGGCGAGTTTCAGAGCGAGCGCAGTGGGGGCAGTCCCTTTGAAGAGAACCTGAAAAACCAATTGTCGTGTTCGTCCACGAAAGCTACGCCATTTTCGACCACTGCCCCACATGTTCAGGGCCTCGCTGTTGCAGAGCTTTGTGCAGCCAGCGTTCTGGAGTACATCTCCCTGCCATCGCCCCGCTCCTTGCCGGGATCAGCATTTCCACATGTAGTCAGCCAAGTGAAAATGAAGGCCCAGGGACGTCCAAGCAGTGTGAAGCGAAACACTTCCCCATGAAGTGTATTGCGGGTTTGATGACTCGACGCCCCCGCCAGGAAAGGGCGTTTTCAATGTGCCGGACCTGAGAAAGCTGTCGCCCTCGGCCTTGGTGAATTGTAGGCTGCTGACCCAGGACGCCTCCGAGGAGTGGTTGGTGAACTTGTAAACTTCTCTGTTCGCTGGTCTGAAGGGCTTAGGAAGTTGCGGATCGATGGGGGTCGGTGTTTTCCCGCGGAGGCGTCGCCAGGCTTTTACTTCGCGCTCAAGGCGAAGGCCACAGCAGAGGTCACGGCGCTACACGAAACCGTGCAAACAGCTGGGATTCCTGTGCCGGCGCCCGCGGCGCGGCGGGCCAAGGCGGCCATCTTCGTCGAGGACCTTTTTGGCTGTTTCAAGTTTTGGACTCCGTTGCCCATTGCAAGCCCGATGTGCTGTGTGCAGGATGTCAGCCTTCCACTCAGAGCAGAGGCGCTCAGCTTGCAGAGGTCAGGTTGATGCAGCTGCAGCATTGGGTCTTTATGGGTCTTTCCTATCTTTCCTAATTAATGTAGCTACAAGATTTACAAGAGGGTTGTAGCGCCTTTCAAGGGTCTCGACGAAGTTTAATTACGCCTGTCAAGGGCTTTTCAGGATTCTAGCTTTCGTGAACTCCCAGGTGCCATTGGCAGCAGAAACGCTTTTCGGTCCGGGGCCACAAGCGCGCGAAGCTTTCGCGTGGCAGTTGCCGCAACAGATTCTGTTCGCGTCTTGGCAGTGTTTGGCCATGTTTGGTCTTGAGTTTTGTTTGCGCTGGAACCGACACATCTCAGGCCAAGCTGCGGACAAGGCTGAAATCGTTCCGAGGAGACTATGGCCCTGAACGATCAAAGCGCACTGCTCCCGGCGCTTTGGTACCCTGGCCTTGTCTCCTTGATATGTGGTCCTAAGCCCTTCGGCCTTCGGCACGACTCTTGCCACATGTTGTGTACATGGACTGCGCAACACTCCTGTCTGGCTTGCTGCAGGTGGTTGCTTCCTTGCCTCGACACACGTGTGTCTCAGCAGACCTGCAAGTATCCGCGTCCTGGCCTGCAGAGCAGTATGAATTGCAGCGTGGTTGCACATTCACAGGTGACAGGTCTCATCAAATCGCTGCATTTGAGGTCGTGGTTGCGCAATGGGCCTCGTATTTAAGTCTGCAGCGGCGCGCTCTGCAGCCGTCCTTGCGTCTGGTGGCGTTGCCAAGGATGCGCCTTCGCTGGTTTGCCCTTCCTGTCATTTCCTGTCTCTTTACTCTCATGATTAATCCTGGCAGGAGGGGCTCAAGTAGATTCTGAATACCCACAGCCCAGGCGCGCGTCGTTGGCTGCTGCTTTATGGACTGGACCACGAGATTTGCACGCTGAAGTGGAAGTGCACCCGATTGAGTGCCGCGGCTTTGCGATCAGATCATCTCTTCTCCTTTACCATGTGTTATGAATAGCATGAACATGTCACACCTACCAACTAGTCTGGCGAAATCTGAGTCGTAGCTCTCCGGTGACGGCCGTGGATGGCCTCAGCTCTTTGCCGCTACTCTTCAGAGACGGCACTCTGGACCTTGAGGCATTGAGCATGCGCTAGCCGCCAGTTTTTCTGCAATACCGGGGTGCGGTGCGGGGTCTCTTCTTCCGGGCAGTCTTGTCTCGGATCATGCAACTCATTTCCTGATGATGGGTTACAGACGTTTACTTTTCGAGCGGTTGGCCTCTTCATGCCTCTTCTAAGGTCTCTATTCTGGATGAGCACAGGTGGAGTTGGAAGGTTTTGGGAGTCCCGGGTTGACTTAGTTTTTACAACTCGCGCATGTAGGGCCTGGTAGGACATGGTAGGACGACAAGTCATGGCGAATTGCTGACAGGCGAAGCGGCCGCCAGGGTTTGCCACTTGGACCTGAGATCTCAGACCAACCCAAGCATTGGATGGATCATGGCATATCCGAGGATCTGGCGATGCTGTGCGAAGCAGACTTTGGTCTCCAAGAAGTAGATGCTGTACAGAGCAGGGCTGTTGGCTCAGATTGGGCCAGACACGGAGTTCTTGGGGGCACACTAGGCTTCACAAGCAACCAGAGTTGTGTGTTTGTCTCTGTCTGTCTCTGTGTGTGTGTGCACTTCTCTAGTACATGAGATAAGGGGTTCACAACCCTTTCATTTGCTCAATCCAACATGAACATGTCAGCAAGAGTGCAGCTTGTTTTTTCAGCATATCGTCAGCAGGGGCACCAGGGGCGCTTGACTGGCCTGGTGCAACGAAGCTCCAGTCAAGTTGCCAGGATATGAGGTCTGATCAACCTCACGTACCTGCATTGTTTGCGTACCTGCTCTCTCCACCCTCATTGCATCTGGGGCCGTCGTGCCATCTGATGAATGAGGAGCGGAAATGACGACGAGGACGAGGACTACGACGACGAACATCTCCACACAACTGCATCAAGACAACGTGTATTGTAACATCACATCCGTCAGTACGCGAACACTTTCTCAGTGTGATTACAACGGCTATCCGTCATGGCGCCGTGGTGGTCTCCATTTGAGGCAGTCCTCGATGAAGGGGATCCGATT